CCTTATTATCTTAACAAAACTAGATTAACATCATTTTCTTCAATAATTTCAACAATTAATTCTGGAGTCAAAAAAATATGCATATATTACCTAAAGTTAAGTGTTTTTACTGATATGTCCTATGCAAAATATCCTTCCTCCAACATAGTGGAGAATTATATCTTTTTTACCTTATAGATTCAATATATGTGAAAGACATGGAAACATTTTTGCATCATGTGCTTGTCAAATAAGTGTGGTATCTAAACCCTCTTTATTAAAAATCATTGAGAAACATTTTAAAAATAAAAAATAAAAAATATATACATTCATCAATCAAAGAATATACATACACCAATTATAATACTTCATAGATAACTTCTTTATGAAAATACATATGGGAGCACAGTTCGACTCGAAACTACAATCTTATATAGAAGAAGGGACATACTAACTATTAAGTTAAGTAGTAGTAATAAACTATTCACAAATATGATAGGACAAACTGACGATTGATTAGTCTACTTTCTTTTATATGATTGTATTGGTTTTAAAAATTAAGAATTATGATCACTTTGGTAATTTGGTGGTCTCTCAACTAGTTGGTTTTCCAAGATTTCAATAGGGAACTCATTGACATTATCCTAATGTTAAGAGCTTAGCCTAGTAATAGGAACAAATTCAAAGGGTAGGTTTCAATTAAGATTTTCGAATGTTTCTACAATTTCTGTTTTATTATACACTGGTGTACTAGAAAGTACATATCACAATTGTATTGTCTTGTGCATGAATACTACCGTTACCTCATTTCTTAATTGGTTGAGGTAATAGTATTCAAGGATACTGATGCCTACTGAAATCAATGAGAAATATTATAATATTTTCATTATTCTTTCCCTATTTTTTATGTTATCTCACTCTATAGCTCTACTTTCTTTAGTCTCTCTCTCATTTTTCCTTGTTCTCCCTAATATTTTTTTGTGGCTATTAAATTTCATGAGCCAGAATCCTGATAAACTAATATTAGAGTTTGACAAACCTATGAAGATCATTTCTTCCATTGTCAAGTGATTAAGAACAAAGGAGAATCTATCTTGACAAGTACCCGATGAGTTAACCTAATGCAGGAGTCTTGGATAGACATGAGCAGAGGCTCCAAAACTCTATGATTGACTATGAAATTGTAGATTCCAAGTTGGAGGAAGTGTTGGATGTCAAATTTGATGCAAATTTGGATGCTAAGTTTGTTTATAACAATGTCTAACTTTAACTCGCCATGATCAGAACCCTTACTAAAAACCCTCATTGCTCCACTTTTCAAGTTGTCCTTTAAACCAACAAATCATAAAGGCTCCATATTTTTCTCCACAAACTTAGCTATCTCTACTAGCATCTCACTAGTTCTTACACTAACCTCCAAGTCTGCCTTATGGACTATACGCTAAGTGTATTATCCCTACCCCACAAGTGATGGAGATCAATGCTTACAGCCAGTCACTTTTTGTACCTTAATGCTTACAAATCAACACCCTGCAAAAGTCATCATATCCTTCTTTAATGTAGAAAACCCCTAGGTTTGGATTAAAAGGTGCCAACATTATTTTTCAAATTTACATAGTGCTTAAGGGATAGAACATGATAACAACCATTCTCTATCTGGATATAAACTAGTGAGTGGTATTAAGGTTGGCTCATGCAACATGGAGACATGAACTAGCGCGATTTCGAAAAAGAAATTTATCTGTAGGTCCGGATATCACAACCTAGCAAATATAATGAAAGAGCTTTAAAAGTTGAAGCAAGAGAACAACTTGCCCAAATACTAGGAGCTATTCAAGGGATAAAGGTTAATGAGGAGCTTCATGAATAAACTAGGCACCAGCCATTCGATGATTATTGAAGCCTGTGGTGTTTTTCAAGGTGCGAGGCTTATTTGGAGACATGACATTCATAAGCTTTTTGTAGAAATTGACTTCCTCTATGTTAAATAGCTTCTTCACTATATCAACACCCACATAATATGTCTGCTAATGTGGAGAAGCAATTGAGAGACATGTTCTCATTGCCTGGCAACACTGGCTCATGGGACTCCTATGGGTTTCACTACGTTACTTTATGCTCTTAAAGAGCTCAATCAGGTATTATACTTAGATTAGCGTGATATTGTTTAGAGTTGTTTAGTTCTTCTCTATGTTTTTTGTTGTTTTTTTTCTCCTTTTTGCAGCAAAAAAAATGACCAACTTTGTTTTTATTTGGTTTTAAATTATTTTAACTTTCGTTTTACTTGTAATTACTTTTAAAAAATGATCTAATTTTCGTAATATTTATGAGCGTGCTTATGGAACACCCACGTGGTTAATGTGAATTTGAAAAATTAAACCACACCATATTAATTATAAAAAAAAAAAAAAAAACTTAAATTATAAATAGTCAAATGGTATAAACAGAAAATGATTTTTCTGTAATTCATATTGAATTAATAATTGTGGATATTGACATGAATTAGATAAGTACTAAGAAGACAACATTAAGACGACAAGCCGGCTGCCGCAAGAAGCAGAGCTCGTGGGTTGACATGGATGCTTATCATGGTTGAAGTCAAATTAATGCATATTTTACATCTGGCTTAAAAAATTCAAGCAAAGTGAATTTGAAATTTCCCAGCATCCAAATAGGCGGCCTCAGTCTATATACAGATATAAACAGCCCACGATGTCCATAAACTCATCACTTGATTTAAAGTTATAGAAGGAAAAATAAGAGAAAGAAACCAACGGGATCAGAAATGGCAACCACATGCAAAGGTAGCTTTTTCTTTTTGGAATTAGTTTATTTGTTAATACAATTAATAGCATTAATTATAATTTGAGTTAATTACTAGACTAACTAGATATAATGTGTGTATATATATATATATATATATGTATGTATATATATAATGGAGTACAGGTAAGAATTCATGGCCAGAACTTGTTGGAAAAAACGGAGATGAAGCAGCAGAAATCATAAAGAGAGAAAATCCAAACATTGTTGATGCCATTGTGATTCCGGAAAGAGCTGCAGTAATTCTGAACTTCAGCTGCGAGAGGGTTTGGATTAGGGTCAACGAGTGCAAGATTGTTACTAAAGTTCCTACAATAGGCTGAAATTGTTCAATTTCGTCTGTAATTTTATTTTCTTAATTAATGTATATTTATTATGTCTATGTTTATGAATAATAATATTATGATATCTCTCACAATACCATTGGCTGGTTTTCGAACTGACCATTTAATTTCTGTAATCAAATAATAAATAAATAAATAAATCATACATCTATATTTATTTATCTTCTAATACAAGCATGACTCCATTTTTTTTTTTTTATTTAAGAAAAATATTTTGGATAAGACTGGGCCTTTCCTAAAAAGTCAGTTTCCAGCATTTGACCTTAGAGAACAAAATTCTACATGAAGGGAAGGGAATAAGCTCAAAGTGTAGTTTTCTTTTTAGGGTTTCAGAATTTTTCTTTTTAGTCTTCTTGTTTTTGCAGTTTTTTATTCTGTTATGCACTGGTAGCAGAGGTTGCAGCTATATTCTCATCTGTAGAAATATTACCAACGAATCAAATCAGATTGTTCTATTTCTCAATCTTTTTTACTTGCTCCTATAGAATCAAGGAGGAAAAATTGGGAAAAAAAAAAAAATCAGTCATTCACAATTATTAATGAAGGATTCCTCGAGAGATGTTAAGAATCAATAATCAATTTTAAAAATCAAATGGGTTCGATCTTATGCATGCGCAAGAAAGGTAATCAAAAAAGAAAAAAAAAAAAATTTTATTTTATTTTTATCACTTAGGAGCCCAATTAAATGAATGAGACGTATCATAGTATTTCCATTATTCCTCCCCTACTTTTCCTCTCTTCTCTCCCTCTTTATCTCTCTACCTTCTCCTCTCTCTCACTCTGTTCTCCCCATTTATTTCTGGCGTGGCTGTTAAAATCCATGAGCCAGAATAATCCTAACACCAGATTAGCCAACAAATACTGTAGGAATACAGGGCAATACTCTCCTAGTCAACCCTCATTTCTACCCAAGTGGTATTGTTTGGCTGACACGTCATGATGGTTAGATATGGATAATTTTCAATTAAGATTCTTGGAAACTAAGCAAAGAACGCAAGGTTTTGCGCTCAGCAAGTAGGCACATTTACAAGCCAACTTCTGCCACAATAGAAGATACTGAAAATATTTATGGTCTGTATCTAAGCCAAATCATAATTTACTCATGGGTTTCTAGATGAATGTGATGCAAAAAAAGTTATTCATGACATCAATTATGCCCTAGAACTGCAAAAATAAAAAATAAAATAAAAAAAAAGAAAAAAACAATATATTTCTTATTGTATTCACTCATGCAAATAAGAATCTTAAACACAAATCTTTTAAGGTAGAAACAGAGTGTATAACAGTATCCTAAACACAGCCAATGCCCTCTTACCCATTACCAAAAGAAAAGCTGACAAACTCCAAGGTCCGTGTAAAATTGACAGATTGTAGAAAGTAAAATAATCCGGAGCCTGCAAATAAGCATCCATTGATTACAAGAACAAGCACCTGTAATATCAGTATCTGCATTCAGAAATATTATATCAACAAAACCATTATCAGGCTTGAACTGATTTGCAAGGCTATGATTTGACACGGTCTCCTTAAACAAGAAGAGACACTCCTTTGTACAGAAATAGTTCATAGCATTGGGCAATAAAAAACAAACAGAATGCTATCAGTTACAATTTTAGCTGCCCCCTTAACATTTGAAGCCACCACATACAAGGAACCATACTATGAGGATCATAACAAGGATTGCTCCTCCTACCATCAGCTTCATTTGAAGATTCTGCAGCCACATCTTCCGCCGTAACTGCCTACCTTGCCTCTGGAAGCTGTCAGCCTAAATGAAAAAATAGCATGTGAAAAATAGCAAAAATAAATTAAAAAAGCTGCCAGATTCTGTTTCGACCTGCATGAAGAGCAAGAGAACAAGGTACCTGAAATTGTAGGTTTTCTGTCTTGTCCACTAGAAGTTCGATTCTTTCCCCACGATCCAGGACCTATATTAAAGCAAGGATAGCATGTTATATGAGTTCATAAACAGATTTCCATAATGTTCAAGGAGAGCAGCAGAAGTATAGTTTGTTATTTCTTTCCAATGCATGCTTTAAAATATATCTCATTACAAGAAGGCAACAAACTTCTTAAGTGAAAATGAACTCTCAAGAGTAAATTTAAAGCCTCCTGCTGGTATTGCTGGACCCTAAAACTGGAGAAGTATCTTAAATCAATTGTTAAGGATATTGAAAGAATGTAGCAATTTATTTCATATTCAAAAGGAGCTTAACTCAAACTTTCCAGCATCCATGTGTATTAACTATTACATTGCTTCGAAGTTCACCAAAAAACAAGTTTGGTTTTTGTTTTCCAGAACCCTTCAACTGTCACATCCTCTTCTTACCCTCTCCTGTACTTTCCTGGTGTTTTTTCAGGTTTAAATGTAAAAGACTCTAAAAATTAAATTCAGATACAATTACAATATTCAAAGACGAAATAAGCGTAAAAGTGCATCTAGATCCCCTACTTGCTTGAATGTTTTAATTCTCAGCTAGGAAATACTGTTTTTGAAAAGTTACCACCACTTAATTAAGAAATCTTAGCCCAACTATCAGATCTCACCTTTAGAAATCAGGTCAAACTTACAGGCTCAATCTCTCTTTGAGCATGAGGTGCATCTCTCACAACGATTGTTTTAGTAAAACTATGTCTTTCTATTAACTTTGTTCATAATTTATCACCATTGTTAAACACAAATGTGTCCCTCAAACAAGATGGTAAGACCTCAGTTTTGTTCATGTAATAAAATAAAGTAAAAACTCCTTTGGGTTTTGAAATAACAATATACGTATACACATATATTTTGTTAACTGAAGAAAATCACGTAAGAACCTTTCAATTTTAAATGAGAGTATGTGTATATATATAGAGTAAAAAGGAATCCACTTCTTATAACATACCTGTTAAATTTGCCAAAAAAATTGTTAACATTTTAATATTATAGTTGCTGAGTTTGGAAAAACTTACCCACCTTTGTTCAAAATGGTAAATTCCAGGGAATAACAATAGGAATACAATAGAAATTGGATAAAAGTTGGATGAAGATATCGAAATCCATAGAGGATTTCAATATAAAAGTAGAACTGATTCAATTGTAAAGCAAATATGAAAATTACAATCCAAACCTCTATATAAGTAATTAAGATCAAGGAATAGAGTTGAATATTATAGGAATTAGACCAAATAATGCTGGCACCAGATTAAGGTTACCCTAATTTGAATTCATTTATCTTGGTTGATCATTCACTAATCAACATGCTCTATCATAGAAATGATGTTTTTGCAACATTTAAACTGCAAGAAAATAAGGAATGTAGCGTCTGAAACTCATCCCATCAAACTAATCACATTTCCAGATCTCCCCATAGTTCTCAAGCATCTCTCAGCATAATAGCATAATGTTATAAAATTGGACTAGTGTATTTGTTTGGCTTTGGTTTTTTCTTTTTCCTCAGTTTTTATGTTTTTATTCTGGCTTTGGCAATTGAATTGCAAACCTCAGGCTTGTCTTGCCCACTAACAAATATGATAACCACAGAGACAAAGAGCTTGTGGTTACTTCTTTGGCCATTGTTGAGCTTCTGAATTCTATTATGTCTTCCATAAACCTTCTAAATGGATCTGACAAATTCAGCTAAAAATTATATTCTATGGCCAGCATATGGAATAAGGTTAAATGAGTTTTATTTATTAGATAAGGACCTAACATCACACCAGGATCTTAAACACACTTGAAAATCTCATACTGTTGAGATCCTAAAAAATCATGAATAGTTACAATAGTTGATAACAACTCTCATGTACTCGAATAGTCATGGTTGATCGGATTCTCATGTACTCTTTTGTGTCCATAAATAATAATTGTAAATCAAAACGAAGATACGTAATTTTTGAAGAATAAAATCTCAGTTTAGTATTCTCTCTAAACTTTCTATCCCTCTCTCTCTTCTCTTCTCTCTCTGTTATCTCTTCTCTCTATATATTTTTCTCTTTCTCTCTCTAACAACCTCTCTCTATATATATTTCTCTCTCTTTCTAAAACTTTTTCTTTCTCTCTCTATTTCTTTCTCCCTCTAAAATCTCCACTCTCTCTTTCTCACAAACTCTCTTCTTCTCTCTTCCCAACTTCCTCTCTTCTCTCTTTTCAGAATCTTCTTTTCTTCCCTAAAATTCAAATTCTGCACCAATATTTTCTTAAATTCAACTTCTGCCCCACTATTTCCTCAAATACAAATTTTGCCCCAATATTTTCTAAATTTTAGATTCTGCCCAACCTTTCAAATTTTCTCATAATCACCCCAAAATCATTCAAAGTTTAATATTTTTCTAAATTGAAGGTCCGGTGAATTACATGTCAAAACCAGATCCTAACAATTTAGTATCAGAGGCAGGTTCTAGATCCCAATGGGAGCCGATGATGGCCGACATTGCGAAATTTTCGATCAGATAGAGGAAAAACTCAATCTGATGATCCAGTTGTTGAGTGGTGACGTTACCTCTCTGGAGGACGCAAAACCAATGGCCTCTATTGCAGCTGTGCGCGAAGTGCAGAGTGGGACTCTTCTTTTCCCTATGGGGCATGACGAAGAAGATGAAACAAAAAGGGGTAAACTGGCTTTTAACAAGGCAAACCCTAAAACCGGTTCAATGACTAAATCAGTTGAAAAAACCCTAAAACTGTTGGTTCGAGCCGGACTAATTCAAAGACAATATGAGGCCAGACTAAACCCGTGTCAAACCGAATTAGTTTATTGAACCAAACCGATCAGACCCCAGTGGACCGAATCGAACCACTCAATCTCTCTGTCACTCATATTCCCTTGTTCTCTCTTGTTCTCTCACTGATGAAAACAAAACAGAAGAAGGAGAAGCGGAAGAAGAGGAAGTGGAAGAAGAAAAAACAGAAGAAAAATGAAAAAAAAAGGAAACAAAAGAAGCGAAAGAAGAAAAGATACAAAGATCCACATGAAGTTCTTCGGTAGCACATTAAAATATATACATATATATAAATTAATAATATCTATATATAATCATAATAAATAGTAATAATATCCTTAGATAGCAAATGTTGGAAGCTGAATTTCAACCTTGGGGACAAGGTTGATATCCAAGGAGAAGAAATTGTTGAGATCCTAGAAAATCATGAATAATTGTAATGGTTGATAAGAATTCTCACGTACTCAAATAGTTGCAATGGTTGATAAAAATTCTCATGTAACCTTTCATGTTTATAAATAATAGTTGTAAATCAAATCTAAGGAATGTAATTTTTGTAGAATAAAATCTCAGTTTATTATTCTCTCTCTAAACTTTCTATCTCTCTTATCTCTTCTCTCTTCTCCCTGTTATCGCTTCTCTCTCTAAACTTTCTATCTCTCTTATCTCTTCTCTCTTCTCCCTGTTATCTCTTCTCTCTCTAACAGTCTCTCTGTTTCTAAGACAATCTTTCTTTCTCCCTCTAAAATCTCCACTCTCTCTCTTACAAACTCTCCTCTCTCCCTGACTTCCTCTCTTCTCTCTTTTCAGAATCTTTTTTTCTTCCCTAAAATTCAAATTCTGCACCAATATTTTCTTAAATTTAACTTCTGCCCCACTATTTTCTCAAATACAGATTATGTCCCAATAGTTTCTCAATTTCAAATTCTGCCCCAACCTCTCAAATTTTCTCAGAATTACCCCAAAATCATTTAAATTTATATATTTTTAACTAACTAATTATTATATATATTATTACTTTAACTGAAAATTTAAATATATTATCATTTTTTTATTTTTAAAAATTATAAGGAAACATCAAATTCAATTTCATCTGAAGATAAATCAGGCTTATAGTCCTTGAGGACGAGCAGGGATCCTTTCAAATTCCATACTTCACGACTGCAGACTCTTTTCTTATCTTCCTCTTGATATATATATATATATATATATAGGTAAACACTACGAACATCTCTTTTATTATATATGGTGTTCTTCCCTTGTTAATAGATATGGATAAGCTCTGTACAGTATAGGACAGGTAAGCTGCGTAAAACCTATGAACAGCCACCATTAATCAAAGTCAGAGCCATACTTTACAAATTAAAATTCATGAAATAATTTCCCACATCTCCACCGAGCCGCCTCATATGCTATATAAATACCCTACAACCTCAGGAACTCATCCTCACGTGTTCTATTGAATTTTACATATAAGAGAAACAAAAACAATTTAGAGAAAAAGGAATGGCGTCTGAATGCCCAGGTAAGTACGGATCAACTCTTCTTTTCATATATAAGGGTAATTAATTAGTGCACAATTATAAGAAATTATATACATATACATATATGTATGGGTGTTGCAGGTAAAAACTCATGGCCGGAACTTGTTGGGAAAAACGGAGATGAGGCAGGGGAAACCATAAAGAGAGAAAATCCAAATGTCTTGGAAGCCATCGTGTTGTTGGAAGGAACTCCGGTGATCAAGAATTTTAGCTGCAACAGGGTTTGGGTTTAGGTAAGCGATTGCAAGATTGTTACTCTAGTTCCTACTATAGGCTAACATTGCCCCACGTAATTTCATATAATAAATGTAATAATACATGGGCTAGTTTCTTGACTGATCTAGCTTCCATTGTAACCAAATAAATAAATAAGTAGTTTTTATTTAATTTTCAATAATTAGTAAATTCTCTTATGTTATTTTTCTTTAGATATTTATTTGAATAATTGGAAATAAATAAATGTGACTGATATTTTATGTGATTTAATAGTTTATTATATATTAATATTATATCCTATTTTCTAATTATATACAATTTGGATTTTAATTTGATTTAAAAATTTTATTTAATTTCAATGCAAATCAAATTTTGGAGGGTAATTAGAAACCAAACTAAATTAAACTATTTCGGTTTAGTTTTTCAATTGGGTTAAATTTTTTAGTTTGGACAAAATAACTTGTAATACCCAAATTAATTTTTTGTAATTTAAATTAATTTGTAAATGTAGTTTTTTTAATTTTTTATTTTAATTTAGTAT